TTTTACCTACGGTTTAAAATTGTGAAAACTAGTGCTATGTGTTTTCTCTAGTTTTTTTTTTTGTAAATTTGCAAAATCAGTAAATTATTTTTATCGATATTATAGTATATAAATCAGAGGTTAATATGAAGATTTAAAATTACTTTTCACAAATTTATATATATGTTTTATGATTATTATGGACTAGGTTAATTATTAAGGAATTTCTACTAGTAGAATAGTGAACATATCTAGTTATGAGAACTTATTGGAGAAAGTTTAGTTTCGGTAATTGAGTCCTAATTTTAGTTGTGTTAATTGTTATTAGGAAGCTTTAAGGAATTTCTTTTAGTTTGCGAAATTCAGGTAAGTGGATTCTATCATAAGTTACCGCCTTGTATGTTTTGTTGTATTATTGTTTGATTGTAAGTGAATTATGTTATGTGTTGCATTGTTTTGTTATTGAATTATGTTATTCATGTTGCTTAAATATATTTTGTTATTGAATGGTGATGGTGGTTAAATTTTATGTATTACAAAGTATGTTATGATTCTATGGCTTTCTCATGTCATTTTAAGTATGTTTAATAGCAAATCATGTTTAGGTAAAGCATGACATAATGTGTGATGCATTGCATTCGTAGTGAAGTTAGTAGTCTTATGTGTCATGGATTTTGGTAAGATTAATGTTATGCATGAAATACCCAAATTAARCAGTTATGTTATGCAGCTAGATKTATGATATGACATRTATGGTTTMTGYTAAAGGCTGGGCCCTAGGAAACAAATTAGTTCATGTTAATGGTATTTATGGGGGTAATTACCCTATAAATATTACATGCGGAATTGACGGTTATGGTATGGGGTATTTCTGTATAGCATGGCGCCAAATTAAGGATTTAGATATGTAAGTTTATGCTAGCAAGYAYAAGTATCTTAAGTTAAGTYGTTYGTTGGTTTATATGTTAGGTTGAGGTATGCATGCATATAAGCATGATGTGTGTGTTTGAGCATGAAAGGTTCCTTATGATGGGAACTACTTACTGGGTATTTTTTTATACTCATTCCATGTTGTTTCAATTTTTTTTACAGATAGTTATATAGTTGACGAGAATAACGTCGAGGATGACCTGGGCATTGACGGGAGGAGATATGAGACACAGTTGAATTTTATTTATAATCTATACTTTAATTATGACTATACCACATTTTTACTTGTTTTATTTAAGGATAATAACTTTGTGATTTCCACTGCTAAAGATTTATAAGTTAAGTTTTATTAAGTTATCGTTTTCATTTTTAGATGAAAATACAAGTTTTTATCTTATTTTATTTTAATGAAATTATGTTTTATGAGTAATTATCTCAATCTTATATTATTAATGACATATAAAAATTGGGGTCATTACAATAAGAAGCGTTTCCACTATTTTCTCTGATATTGTGACCATCGGAGAAAGAATCGAATACGGTGTCAAGCATGGTCAATTAACTAGTATTGCTAGTGAGACATCGACCACGGAAAAGGCAAGTTCTTCGAAGAAGAAGGAGGATGAGGTGCAAATGGTAGGAGCAGGCCGACACTCTTAGAAACAACAATCGTATGGTCAGACACCGCGATATGCTCCATATTATTACCCAACGCCATACGGGTATAATCAACCATATGTGAATAATGCAACTTCACATTACCCTCCTTATGCCTCTCAAAATTTTCGACCTCCGACTTGTCAAAACTTCCAACCTAGAGGTCAGCAACATAATACATTCTATACTCTTGAGCAGTAGAATAACAGAGACGCACGTAAACAGACTCAGTTCGACCCAATCCCTATGACTTATATTGAACTTCTGCCTCAGTTATTTCAAAATAATCAACTGGCATCGGTACCTGTGGATCTGATCCAGCCTCCATACCCAAGATGGTATGATGCAAATGCCCGTTGTGACTATCACGCAAGAGCCATAGGGCATTCAACAGAGAACTGCACCGCACTTAAATACAGAGTTCAAGCTTTAATCAAGGCAGGATGATTGAACTTTAAAAAAGAAAATGGACCCGATGCCAATAACAATCCTTTGCCGAACCATCAGAACCAACAAATAAATGCAGTTACAGCCGTGATAGAAGAAAGAGAGCAAACTGGTCCTTCTGTCTTCCCGTGCCCAGACAATTTCGAGCTGAGCAATTGGAGCGTGTTAGAGCTACCGTTTTTTGTAAATAATAAATCAAAGTAATTGTCCATTTTTTTTCCTTCCCCTTATTTTCTTAATTAATTAAATTAATTTTCTATTTCCTGTACATTTTATCCAGACCTATTATTTGTTTATAATTCTTCCATATCAATAAAGTTTGAGTTCATTCACTTTGTTTCTTTGCTCTACTATTCTCTGGGCCAATTTATTCATTTGTTTCCTTTTCTTTTCTCCTTTATTATGTCTTAAGCAGTAATACTGAGATTGAATGCGATAAATGATTCGAAATACGAGCTTGATACACCTATATACAATATCGAGTCTGATGAGGAAATGGATGACGAGCCCTCTGCTGAGTTATTGAGAATGCTAAAAGAAGAAGAAAAGATGTTGGGACCCCATGAAGAATTAACTAAGACAATTAACTTGGGATCACAAGCCAAAACCAAAGAGGTTAAAATAGGCACTAATATGTCTTCAGAGAGCGCAAAAAGTTGATAGAGTTACTTCATGAATATGCTGATGTTTTTTCTTGGTCCTATCAAGATATGTCTGGTTTAGATACAGACATCGTAGTGCACCAATTGCTGATCAATCCAGAGTTCAAGCCGGTGAGGCAGAAGTTACGGAAAATGAGGTCGGATATGTTAATCAAGATAAAAGTTGAAGTAAGGAAGCAAATTGATGCAGGGTTCCTTACATTATCTAATTACCCTGAGTGGGTGGCGAATATTGTCCATGTACCAAAGAAAAATGGACAAGTAAGAATGTGTGTAGATTACAAAGACTTGAATTGTGCAAGTCCAAAAGATAACTTCCCGCTTCCTCATATTGATGTGTTGGTTGATAATACTGCGGGTTCTCAACCTTCTCATTTATGGATGAGTTCTCAGGCTACAATCAGATCAATATGGCACCTGAAGATCGCGAAAAAACCACATTCATTACTCTATGAGGAACTTTATGCTACAAAGTTATGCCGTTCGGGCTAAAAAATGCTGGGACAACCTACCAGCGTGCCATGGTTACTATCTTTCATGACTTGATGAACAAAGAAATTGAAGTTTACGTGGATGATATGATTGTCAAGTCAAAACAGGGCGAGGAGCACACAACTATTTTAAGGAAGCTGTTCGATCGATCGAGGAAGTTCAAATTGAAACTCAATCCCAACAAATGCATATTTATGGCAACCACTGGAAAACTCCTAGGTTTTGTAGTAAGCCAAGAAGGCATTAAAGTTGACCCGGATAAAGTCAAGGCAATCTTAGAGATGGCATCTCCACAGACGCAAAAAGAAGTCAGAGGATTTCTAGGACGACTCAACTACATCGCAAGGTTCATATCTCACTTAACAGCAACTTGCGAACCCATCTTTAAATTGCTCCACAAGAACAATGATGGGGTATGGAGTGAAGATTGTCAAGTAGCATTTGATAAGATTAAGCAGTATTTACAATACCCTTCAGTTCTTGTGCCACCAGCTCAAGGACGGCCTCTTATTTTATATCGCACAATGACTGAAAACTTAATGGGATGTGTACTAAGGCAGCATGATGATTCAAGCAGTAAAGAACAGGCTATTATTTAAGTAAGAAGTTCACCGATTGCGAGACTAGATACTCTCAAGTAGAAAAAACTTGTTGTGCTCTAGCTTGGGCTGCTCAATGTCTAAGACAATACATGTTGTATTATACCACATGGCTCATTTCAAAGATGGACCCCATAAAGTACATTTTTGAAATATGATATTGTCTATGTGACTCAAAAGGCCATTAAAGGGAGTGCTTTGGCCGACTACCTAGCTCAACAACCTATAAATGACTACGAACCGGTGAAGTTTGACTTTCCAGATGAGTATATCTCCACCATAACCGCAAGTGAGGAAAGTTTAGACCCACAAACTTGGACCATGATGTTTAATGGTGCCTCTAACGAGTTAGGTCATGGGATAGGGGCTATTTTGATATCACCCAAAGGGGAACTATACCCTCTTACCGCCAGATTATGTTTTGACTGCACACATAATATGGCCGAGTATGAAGCATGCTCGATGGGCGTTCAAGCTGCTATTGATATGAAGGTTAAGAAACTTAAAGTTTTTGGGGATTCTATGCTAGTAATTCATCAGCTAGGAGGAGAATGGGAAACAAGAGACACTAAGTTGTTGCCTTATAAACAACTCATTACAGAATTGTCACAAGAATTTAAGGAAATCTCATTTGATTATTTTCCAAGAGAAAATAATCAAGTAACAGATGCATTGGCCATATTAGCAGTGATGTCCAATTTAGAACTCAATGAGGATGTTCGTCCGATTAAAGTTGGGAGGAGAGATGTCTCAGCTTCTTGTATGAGCATTGAGGAAGAACCTGATGGTAACCCCTGGTTTCGTGACATCTATATCAAGAGTAAAGAATATCCACCAAATGCTTCAGAAAATGATAATCGCAGCCTCTACAAGTTGGCAATGAAGTTTTTTCTTAAATGGAGAGATATTGTACAAGAGAAACCATGACATGGTTCTCCTAAGATGCGTCGAAGGAAGAGAGGCCAATAGGATTATGGCCTAGCAAGAGAACACGGGGCGTTACAGACTACCCACCTTAAAAAAAACTTTCGTCCTCGAAAGTTGTGTAACGCCCCGCGTTCTCTTGCTAGTTTATTTTAGGATTTAAATTGTGCCTTTGGATTTTTCCCCTAAGTTGATAATTTAATTATTGGATTTTCTAATTTTCAACGTTCAAAATTTGGGTAAATTAGAATTTATGTTTCGTTTCGTTGGATTAAGAGAAATTAAGTTTTAGAATTTTGGGAAGAGGTTTTTAATTAAATCTTATTCCAAGAGTTGGTAATTTAATTCCTCTTTTGGTTTTTATTATTGAGTTTCAAACTTAAGTTAACCTCTTAAATTATTTTTCCAAATCCTTTTGAAGTGGCTTTTGTTTTTATATAAAATGATTAAGAAGAATCTCAACTCTTTTTAAGGCTTAGCCCATTCTTATTTGTTTTGTTTTAGTTGGCCCATCCCTCTTTGATAAAAAAAATATTAAAGAAAAAGGTTTTGTTTTTTTTTTAAAACAAAACAAACCCTAAAGAAAAGTCATCTTCTTCCCTTCATCTAACCCTAGCCGTCCTCCTT